AATATTTAACTAAAGCTTCCGTTAACATGTTAAGGGCTAGCCAATGATATCTACAGCATAAAAGACCTTTATCACTGGAAGGGAAACTAATTGTCCTGTCTCATGAGGTGATTTATAGGGATTAAGTGAGATAATCAGGTCAGGAGAGTACATAGCAAATAATAGGCAATTTAGTAGCTTCCTTTAATTATTTCTAATAATCTACTCCCTGATCTTTTATCAGGAACCACCTCTAGAAACCACCCATTCAAAGAGAGAATTTTAATGTTTATAAAATATTTGAGCAGAGCCCTGACTAAGGAAGCACGTCATGTAACATAGGAAAGAGTCCTCCAGGCAAATGAAAGAGCAAGTAAAAAATCTTGAGCTAGACCTTGTGGGGTGGCTCACGCCTGTGATCCTAGCACTTTGGGAGGCCGAGGCGGGTGGATCACTTGACGTCAGGAGTTCAAGACCAGCCTGGCCAATATGGTGAAACCCCATCACTACTAAAAATACAAAAATTAGTCGAGCGTGGTGGCATGTCCCTGTAATCCCAGCTACTCAGGAGGCTAAGGCTGGAGAATTGCTTGAAACCAGGAGGTGGAGGTTGCAGTGAGCCAAGGTCACGTGCCACTGCACTCTAGCCTGGGCAACAGAGCAAGGCTCTAAAAAAAAAAAAAAAAAAAAAAATTGATGTAGAAATTGGGTTGGGTGCTCAGGCTGCTGGCCTGTAATCCCAGCACTTTGGGTGGCTGAGGCAGGAGGCATGGTTGAGGCCGAGAGTGCAAGACCAACCTGACCAACATAGTGAAGCCCTGTCTCTATGGAAAAAAAAACAAAACAAAACAAAAAGGAATCGATATGGCACATTTGAAGCATGACAGAAGCCACTGGAGAATAAGCAGAACAGTGGCATGTTCTCATTTATTTTTTATCATTTTGGCTGCTGTGTGGAGAATATAATGTAGGAGGACAAGAGCAGAAGAGGTGCATAGTAGGTCAATAAATAGCTGAGAATGAATAAACAATAAATTTGCTTTTTTTTTTTTTTTTTGAGACGGAGTCTTGCTCTGTCACCCAGGCTGGAGTGCAGTGGCCGGATCTCAGCTCACTGCAAGCTCCTCCTCCCGGGTTCACTCCATTCTCCTGCCTCAGCCTCCTGAGTAGCTGGGACTACAGGCGCCCGCCACCTCGCCTGGCTAGTTTGTTTTTTTTTTTTTTTTTTTTTTTTTTTTTTGTATTTTTTAGTAGAGACGGGGTTTCACCGTGTTAGCCAGGATGGTCTCCATCTCCTGACCTCGTGATCCGCCCGTCTCGGCCTCCCAAAGTGCTGGGATTACAGGCTTGAGCCACCGCGCCCGGCCAAATTTACTTCTTTTGAATACCTTTTAAAAGGTTCAAAACACTTTTGTGTGTGTGTGTGAGACGGAGTCTCGCTCTGTTGCCCAGGCTGCAGTGCAGTGGCACGTTCTCGGCTCACTGCAACCTCCGCCTCCCGGGTTCACGCCATTCTCCTGCCTCAGCCTCCCGAGTAGCTGGGACTACAGGCGCCCGCCACCATGCCCAGCTAATTTTTGGTATTTTTAGTAGAGACGGAGTTCACTGTGTTAGTCAAGATGGTCTCGATCTCCTGACTTCGTGATCCGCCCGCCTCGGCCTCCCAAAGTGCTGGGATTAGAGCCAAGAGCCACCACGCCCAGCCTTCAAAACACTTATTAAAAACAATTTTTGTTATGTCTTGAACCATTTCACTCCAATAGTTTGCCTCAGTGACAAATCACACAGAGAAGTCACGCCATTCTCCTTAATGTTTCTCATAGCACAATAATAGGTGAATTACATTATCTATTCAGAATCAGTCGAATTTTGAGGTTTTTCTAAAAATCAAAGATAGGATCTTGAGCCTTCATAATCATAGCATCTTAAATACAAAATTACTTCACGTGATAAAAAGTTCCAAACACCACACTTTAGTCTAGAGTATTCTGGTAAAACGTTTTTCTTTGGCATATGCAGCCCAAATAGCTCTAACCTTGATCATTTTTCAAGTTGTAATCTCCACATGCTTGGCATATTCTGATAACATTGACAGGTTAAAAGCAACACTCTGTTGTATGCATAGTGATTGCTTGCAATTAACCATAATTTAGGCTGAAAAGTAGGCTGATCAGCTGCCTCACAGCAACATTTTAAAACTTATTAAATATCTCCAGTGAACTTTAGATGAAAAAGCAACAAAAACAAAATCTGTAACATTTCCACTTTTTCTTACATAGAATCTTAAAGGAGTGAAGCTGCCAATAAGACTAATTCTTGATTTAAAAAAAGACATTTTTGGCCCATATTACATCCAGTAACTGCAGATATGGATAAAGATAATGGAGATATGAAAAACAGGTAAACAATGTCCAAACGAAGTGTCTTATCCTCCTTTTGTCAAAGAGATTTTTGAGCCCACTGGCATTTTATTTTAGAAACAACTATACTATATAGCCCAGCGTGCAGTCCTCTTGCAAGTTCCAGACAGACCTCACCAGTACTTGAGGCCATTATCCCGTTCTTTTAAAATGTGTTCAATACACACAAAATAAGTGACAAGAAACAGAATGCAAACTCAGGACTCAGAATATATCTATGCTTTTCTTATCATCCCATGCTGCTTGGATGCCAGACCTCTAATATGGCATCCTACCTTTTCCTTTTAAATATATCTATCAGGTGGGGTGTGGTGGCTCATGCCTGTAATCCCAACACTTTGGGAGGCCAAGGCGGGAGGATTGCTTCAGGCCAGGAGTTCAAGACCAGCCTGGCCAACATGGTGAAATCCCATCTAAGATACAAAAATTAGTGGGGTGTGGTGGCACGTGTCTATAATCCCAGCTACTTGGGAGGCTGAGGCAGGAGAATCGTTTGAACCCGGGAGAATGGAGGTTGCAGTGAGCCAAGATTGTGCCATTGCACTCCAGCCTGGGCAACAAGAGTGAAACTCCATTGGCAAAAACAAAAACAAAAAAAACAAACCCCAAACCACTATTTCTTTTATACTCTTAGCAGTTCCATGAACAAATCCTGGCCACAGACAAAACAGAATCTTTGAAGTAAGGAATATTTCTGGGTACATAGGTACTTCTGGAAATTATACTAATCCTTTAGGCAAAAGCAGTATCATTTGTACATCACTGCTACAAGGTACTAAACGTTTCTATAGGATTGAAAGAATCCTTCCCATTCTGCCTTAAAAGGCTTAGCAGTAATAAAGAATGACTGAGCTAATCCATCTCACAATTTTGGTCACTGATCTAAAACCAGGGTTAACATATAAAACATCGGACACCGAGGGTTTAACATATAATTCATATTCATACATACTACTAACAAATTGTCATAATAGTGCTCAGTGAAAGAAAAAAAAGTTGACAAAGAATTTAAATGCATTCACATGAGTTTATTAAAAAATCTGTTAAAGAATTACGTATTAGGCAACAGAATTAGGCAAACTAGAAGTGTTCTTGTTGTAAATTTAGGAAACTAAAGTGAAAATAAAGTCTAAAGGCTTAATAATGTATTGTGAAGGGACTTTGTTTCTGTACTTCCTCAACAACCCTTTAAGAGTATAGCTTATTTGAATAAATACTTTTTAGCATCACCTGCTTTGAAACAGACTTACTGCCTGGCCAAGCTCATGACTGTAGCTATTATGCAAGGATCAAGATTACTTTTCAAAATTTGACTGCAGGTATTTCTTTTTCTTTTCTTTTCTTTTTTTTTTTTTTTGAGACAGAGTCTCGCTCTGTCACCCAGGCTCGAGTGCATTGGCACAATCTCAGCTCACTGCAACCTCCGCCTCCAGGGTTCAAGTGATTCTTCTGCTTCAGCCTCCCGAGTAGGTATTTCTTATATAGTTGAACTAATCCGACTGTGGAAACATGACTTAGTCTGGGCTTAGATGATACTAAAGTATCATTTGGGCTTAGATGATACTACAAAGCACTGTCTGCAACCTAAAGGAACTCAGGGACACTAGAAAATGGTATCTACCAACCAGTTTAACTGTGACCAAAAATATCACAGTGAAACAGTAAGTCACAAGAGAATATAAACTTCTAAAGGGCGGGGATTTTGTTCACTCCTGCATTCCCCCATATAGATCAGGCCTCCCACTTGGTGGACAAGCAAACTTGTTCAAACATCTCTTTGAACAAATCAAAGAGATATTCCTGGTGTACATTAGGGGGGCAACCAAATTCATTTCATATATTAATATTTAAAAATCTCCCACCAACTTGAGAAGTTACTACTGAATGATTTACATATGATGAAGCTAATTATACTATACTGTCCACTTTTGAGGAAAATGTGACAAAAAATTATGGTTTTTACTCTTGAGGAGCACCAACACTAGTAATTTTGAAACTGGTATGCCTGTTCCTAAAGAAAAAGTGGGATAGTATTCTGGGACGTAACATTTCATGTATTTCCATCTTCTTAAAACCCCTCTAAGCATGGTAAGAAAAACCAGTGCTAACATACAGGTGCTGCTTTTTTCAGACACTGGTACATCACTTAAGGCACCTGTGCTGGCATCTGCCCGCTGCTGCTCACAGATGGAAGACATTAATCATCTGTTGTTTGGTGCTCCCACCTTGTCCATCCGGCTTCAACTATAACTGCAGTGAGCTCGATGAGTCAGCATCTGGTCTTCCAAAAGCTAGTGTAGCACTCCCAAAGCAAAAAAGGAAAGAGTTCACACTTCAGAGGCCTGAATCAATGCCAGAAGTGTGTATGTTGCCTCAAGGTTTCACAGACTCCCTAATGATCTTTAGCTCCCTGGATACCAAGGCAAAGACAGATCTGAAAGCTGCAGAAAAACAGGTGGGTGTCATACACAGGACTGAAGCCCCAGGCAATATAAATGGTATTTGTTCACACCACAGATTAACTGCTTTGAAGGATCAAAATGGGTAAGACAGCTACATTCAACATTTAAGAAGATTTTCTCAATAACAAAGCACTAAAAATGTGAATAAGTTATACTTTTATTTTTCAGAAACAAAATGACAAGTGGCAACTTGCCTTTGTAAAAGATTAAAGAGTATCAGAGTAATAAGCTATCTCTCACAGAGACAGAAGCCTGAGAAACACTATTATACAGCTCTCAAAGGAAGTCCTATTAAATAAATCTCACAATAATATACTTTTAACTAAATCAACAAAACAAAAACCACAAAAAATTATACAGAACTCATAAAATGGTATATGAATGAAAAAGAGAAATCTTTAAATCCAGACACTAGAAGTTCTCTATTAAAATCAAGGACGCTCAAATCCTAAAACAGAAAAAAGAAATAGTTAAAACACAATATTTTTTAATAGTCGAATGAGGTTATTGCAGATGTACATTTTAACATTTCATTTGCTCAATATATTTTTTTCTCACTCTTGGAGCACTTCTGTATAATGCAGAGATTACATGAGTGATAATGCAGATATTGGCCTTCCTAATGGGCCCTTCAGGTTTTAAGTTTCAAATCTGACTCTGGAATCCCACCTAAATGTTTACATAATAGGCTACAAATAATGAGATTCCTCTTAAAATTACATTTGCTTAATTTTTACACACTATGGTTTAGAAACAATCTACTTTTGAAAGAGACACAATTTACAGTATGAATAATAAAAGTTACATGAAACTACACAATCCTTCTCATAAGACAGGAGAAACAATTTCCAAAACAAAAATGCCTAATACAAAATGATACAGTTGACTGGAGCTGGGGTAGGATGGGAGAAAGAGAACAACCATGTAACAGAATGTATGGAAGACCTAGATTCTAGTTTCACTTTTGACTAATCAGTTGTGTGTCTTAGTCTCAATTTCCTTAGCTCTCGATTTTTTTTCCTAGTTAAGAAGATGTAGATGGATCTCTAAGCTTTATTTTAATTTTAAGGTTCAAAGACTTATAGTTTATAAGATTTCGAAAACCTTTTGGACAATCAGTTGAATAAATTCCTTACATCTTGAGGGTGCGTCACTGTTCAATCCCATGACAATAACTACAAGGCATATCCATAATTTTACTGTTAGAAAAGAAAAAAATCCACCTAAAGGGCAAAAGTATACTTCATATCCTGTTTCTGTTCTACAAGACAGAAAACAAATGTCTATTCTCTTGCTGGCCTCTAGAAGCAGTCTTTGAGACAGAGTTGACTGAAAACCCTAGAACTAGGATAATGGTTAAGATATCTGCCCTGTATTTCTCTCTGCCTGTCTGTGTCTATGAAAGCTGCTAGACAGCTGCTAGACAGTTCAAAGTGAACTATTACATAAAAGCTACCCTTCACCTTACATGATATATAGGATTTCTCTATTACAGAGAAAAATTATACCAGGAAATGGTTTTCCTGATATTCTACCAAAATCCTGAGAAAAATTTGCACTATTGGAAGATTGTTAGAATAGACTAATGTATGGTAATTGAGATTTTAAAAACCTTGTAGTAGCAGAGTTCTAGAAAACCAGAGTTGAACCAGGAAAAAGGATGGTATCTCTGACTTCAGCAGATTTATCACTTATTTAAAGCTGAGGCCAGCCAGGCACAGTGGCTCAAGCCTATAATCCCAGCACTTTGGGAGGCCGAGGCAGGTGGATTACCTGAAGAGTTCGAGACTAGCCTGACTAAAATGGCGAAACCCTATATCTACTAAAAATACAAGTTACCCGGCCATGGTGGTGTGTGCCTATAGTCCCAGCTACTGGGGAGGCTGAGGCATGAGAATTGCTTGAACCTGGGAGGCAGACGTTGCAGTGAGCCGAGATTGAGCCACTGCACTCCAGCCTGGGCGGCAGAGCAAGACTCAGTCTCCAAAAAAAAAAAGATAAAGCTGAGGCCAATTAATAATTCTTATGGGCAGAGCCAAACTTCAGGTTAGAAGAAGGACTTACAGGGAATTCAGGCTTTGGACTCTATCAGTATCTATTTTCAGTTTCAGGGAAGGAGAACCAAAGAAGGAAGTTAAAGATTATACTGACCCTTAGAGGGATGGGCAGCAGAAATATCTGCTATACTGAACTATTTACAGCACATACTTTCATCATAACCATCATATAATAAATGCCTTTTTGCTTTGATGTTACTTTTTTGTGAACTTTGTCCTTTAACCATATGCACTGCAAAGAGTCTGAAGTGGGAACCGTAGGAGCCATAAGCGTGGACTAAAATGCTTTTCAAAGGATTGAAGATGCTTCAGGCATAGGGGGACCTGAGAGGTTTATATGGTCTCTTAAAATTTTCTATGGTCCTAAAATTCTCATAATTTTATATGAATAATATACTACTATATTATATATATATATATATCACTTACTGTTTCTTTTAAAAAATATTTATGGATATAATTGCGTTTTTCTATATGTTTCATTAGTAATACTTAGTCTTGTCAGTCTGGTTCCATAGTAATCTATGATGTAACTACTTCCATCTGAAGGTCCAACAATCTAAAAGAGACAAAATTTCAAAATTATGCATTTTACAGAAGATATTTCACAACACTTTGAGTTTACTTTTCTCAGTTGTTAATAAAAGTATTTCAGAAGCAACAGAAATCCAGCTCTAACCTAAGCAAAAACAGGTAATTTAGTGGCTCATGTACCTGAAAAGAATGCTGGGATAGCTCAAAGGATCAAAAGAAAAGCTGCAGGCACCAAGGACTGAATTCTGTGCTCCCTGAGGCCCTTGGCTTCCCTGCCTCCTTGCTTAGCTCTGCTTGTCTTCATTCTGCAGAGTGGCACTCTAACTAATTGCCAACAGCTCGAGAGTCACATATTCCCAGCTCAGCAGCTCCTAATAAAGAAAGTAAAATTTTCTTCCCCAATGTTTATATACCAATTCCAGGGAAAGACTTTTATTGATCTGCTTGGTTTTTATGCCTACTGTGGACAAACCTACTATATCCATGGGAATAGATTTAATGATTGGCCAGGCCAGGCCAGGCTGCCTGTGGGAGATGAGGTAGTATCATTGACAGTCCTGCCAGAACCACCTGGAATGGAAAAGGAAGAGGTAGGAAAAACAATACACGTTCACTACCATCATCTTGTCCACTTAATCACATATGTGACGATCTAGTTAACGTAATCTCTATAAATTATCCTCTAAGGTAGCAATCTTCAAACTGTAGCCTTAAAGGTGGACAAAGATTTACCAAGGTGTATGTGGGCCCAGAGGGGAAATCAATCTTGAGATCTTAATTCCCTAAATACTCTTTGTAAAACAAATCTGCCTGATACCATGCTACAGTGGAAGCATCCTGTCAGTTTCCCTTCCCACTTCTCCTCACTGTGGTCATTTCTCCCACTTGTTAACAGTAAAGCATACCTACCATCCAGGATACCCCGAGTCTTACGATGGACTATTTCCCTGAGGTGTGAAAGCCTCTGAAGTGCCAAACAAAGTATCCAAAATATTGGATTTAGGGAACGATCCTTTACTCAAAGGTCCAAAAATACATTCTGCTGTATCTGTTCCAAAGATGCATTTCCAATAACATTTTACATCTTTTTGCTTAAAAATAATTTGCAACATGTTTATGCTGTTTTGATCAACTGTGTATCATTATTATAATGACAATCCAAAAAAAAATCACAGAAAATTTTTAAATATTTTAATTTTAATGAATAAGATGATTAGTAGGAAGATTTCTTTTTTTTTTTTTTTTTTGGATACAGGATCTCAGTCACCCAGGCTGGAGTGCAGTGGCATGATCTTGACTCACTGCAACCTCCCCCTCCTGGGCTCTAGCGATCCTCTCACCTCAGCCTCCCAAGTAGCTGGGACCTCAGGTGTGCGCCATCACGCCCAGCTAATTTTGTTTTTGTATTTTTTTGTAGAGACAGGGTTTCACTATATTGAACAGGCTGGTCTCAAACTCCCAGTACTAGGATAATGCTTAAGAACATCAACTGATCTGCCTGCTTTGGCCTCCCAAAGTGCTGGGATTAGGGCATGAGCCAACGTGCCCAGCCTAGTAGGAAGCTTTTAAACATAAAACTGTATTATATTAGGATAAAATTCTGTAGAAAAGAAATAAAAATAAAGGAAGAAAAGAAGCAACGTAAAAATTATAATAGTTAGTGAAGAGTTCACGCACATCTTTTTAAAGTAGGTGATATTTAAAATCCTATATTTATATTATGTTGGAGACATTTCAAAATTGATGTAACACTTTTATTTCAATATGTAAATATTTGCAGACTAGAAGTTATATCCTTTGCAACTATTTAAACTTATGATAGAAAACTTAAATGTCAATTTAAAAATATATGGAGAGTATGGACTTTGTTTTTAAAATCGAAGGACACTGCCATAAAGCATTCCTCATTTTAAAAATAAATTTGATCTTAAAACTATTCAACAAATATTTAATCCTATGATATTCCAGGTTCTATGCTAGACATTATACACAGTGAATAAAATACCATCTCTGCTAACAGGGAACTTATTCTAGTGAACTACACGTTAATATTCAAGTAGTACTTACAAAGCACGTATGTGCCACACACCATGTCAGGTGCTATTATGCACATTGACTTACTTGTTAAAGATTAAATTGATTTGGCTTGACACTTTTTTATGAATTTACATAAAAATTAACTATAATCCCCACACTCTGGGAGGCCAAGGCAGGAAGACTGCTTGAAGCCAGAAGTTTGAGACCAGTGTGGGCAAAAAAGCAAGAACTTTGCCTCTACAAAAAAAAAAAAGAAAACAAAATATTAGCCAGGTGCCATGGCGTGCACTTGTAGTCTCAGCTACTCGAGAGGCTAAGGTAGGAGGATTGCTTGAGCCCAAGAGTTCAAGGTTGCAGTGAGCTATGATCACACCACTGCACTCCAGCCTGGATGACAGAACGCAACCCTATTTAAATAACCAAATTAAGTCAGTGTGGTAAAGCACTAAACTGAAAGGAAAACTTGGAAGAGAAAGCTGTCTCTTTCTATAACTAGCTGCAGGATCAAATAATTTATTCCTTCCTGGATCTCAATTTTTCTTATTGATTATAATGAAGAATAGAATAAGCTGATCGGTACAGTATTTTTAAAGTTTTAATGTCTTCTATGACTACAAGATTTAGATACAAAGACCTCAGCTTAAGCCACTACAAAGTATCATCAACACACTTTTCTATGAACTATCTGGTCACACAAGAAACTGTTTTATTTACTTTAAAAAAAAAAAAAAAAAAAAAAAAGATCAGCTATAAAGATTTCTCAACTATTTAGATCCATATTCCTTTGCCAAATTTAAAAAATAAAATAAAATAAAACCTAAGACAGGGTGTAGTGGCTCATGCCTGTAATCCCAGCACTTTGGGAGGCCAAGGCGGGAGGACTGCTTGAGGCCAGGAGTTCAAGACCAGTCTGGCCAACATGGCAAAACCCAGTATCTACAAAAAAAAAAAAAAAAATACAAGAATTAGTTGGGCATTGTGGTGCACACCTGTAATCCCAGCTACTACTAGGGAGGCTGAGGCATGAGAATTACTTGAACCCAGGAGGCAGAGGTTTCAGTGAGCTGATATCATACCACTCCACTCCAACCTGGGCAACAGAGTGAGGCTCTATCTCAAAGAAAAAATTAATAAATAATAAAACCTGTTTTATTAATAAATAAAAACCCCGTTTTTTAATAAAACCTGTAAGCACCCACATACACATATATAATGTGCCAATTCTAACATATTTCATTGAGTATATTATTGTATTATTAATTATAAAATTACATATCTTTTATAAGCACCCACATACACATATATAATGTGCCAATTCTAACATATTTCATTATGAGTATATTATTGTATTATTAATTATAAAATTACATATCTTTTAAAATATCCCATACTGGATGGGAGGTTGAGGCAGGAAGATTGTTTGAACCCAGGAATTCGAGGATGCAATGAGCTATGATCATGCCACTGCACTCCAGCCTGGGCAACAGAGCAAGACCCTGTCTCTAAAAAAATAAAGTAAAATATCCCAATACTGGGAATTTTTTTACTCAGTGAATATGTCCACGTCCATTTGTTCATAGACAACAGAATATGAAACCTAAAATTATGAGTTTATTTCTCTGCTAAGAAATATCCTGAAGCTGGCTGGGCACAGTGTCTCATGTCTGTAATCCCAGCACTTAGGGAGGCCGAGGCAGGATAGATTGAGCCCAGGAGTTTGAGACCAGCCTAGGGAACAAAGTGAGATCCTGTCTCTATTTGTAAAAACAAAAATTTAGAACAGACAAATTCAAAAAGACAAAAAGTATAACAGAGGTTACCAGAAGGTGGGAAGAGAAGGGGAAGGAAGCTATTACTTAAGGGGTACAGTATTTTTGGAGTGATGAAAAAGTTTTAGTAATAGTGGTGACAGTTGTAAAATATTCTGAACATAATGCCACTGAACTGTACACTTAAAGATTAAAGTGGCAATGTTTATGTTATATATATTTTACTGTACAAAAAAAGCTATTATCTTATTTGCACTTATTAATGTTATAGTATTAATGTTTGCAATTTATAAACTTTTGATTTTGTTAGTGTAAAATGTAATTTGTTTATATATACTTAGGTGGCATTCTACTACGAATAAAGGGAAAAAAATGTGGTTACCAGTAAGTACTTTATCACCTCAACTTTAGCAATTGATATGACCCCTCATTTAACAGCACTGTCAGTGAAGTCATGCTTCTTAGGTAACTCAAATATTTTATAAATTTCAAATGTAATGAATGAATTAAGAAGTGAAAGAAAAAAAAAAAGAGCATTTATATCAATCTACGCTTTCTCTATCTAAAAGACTTCTGAGTTCCTCCATACAAAGAATGCCAACAATAACATCAGCAAGATCAGATCATCTCCTGCAAACCTACCAATCTGGTGATGAAAGTCAAATGATTCAGCTGTCTGCAAGTAAAGGATAATGCAACCTGTATCCATCCCAACTCCCCCAAATAACTAATACTTTCTTAAAAGTCAAACTACATTTTTGTATCCATATTTCACATCTGTGTGTGATTAATTTTAAGATGATGCTATTTAAACCATCTGATTAGTCACATTTTAATTATCAAAATTCCTACACAGTGCCAGAATTTATGCATTCAGAACACCTGACTTCATTTGATTTAAATAATTCTTAATATTAATCATAAATGACCAATATAAACACTATTCTTTAAGACATGAATAAGAGTCAACATTTACATCCTGAGGAAAACACAGCTTTGGGATTTGTCTCAGAACCAGTTTAAGATATTCTTTGTGGCCGGGCGCGGTGGCTCAAGCCTGTAATCCCAGCACTTTGGGAGGCCGAGACGGGTGGATCACGAGGTCAGGAGATCGAGACCATCCTGGCTAACACGGTGAAACCCCGTCTCTACTAAGAAATACAAAAAACTAGCCGGGCGAGGTGGCAGGCGCCTGTAGTCCCAGCTACCTGGGAGGCTG